AATCCTACATGTACATGTACATATAATATCAATAGGAACGATTACAAAATTTTAATATAATTACTTTTGTAGTACACTTAATTAACATTTGAATCCTTGATAAAGTTCTAAAAATAGTTTAGGCTCTTAAATAGAACACCCTCATGCTAAGCAAGGGATATTAGAGTTTGTGTACTAAATGAAATTACAAAGAAAATATATTCTGAACCTTATATTTCTACATACATTTCGCAATAAAAATAGTTTAACTATAAACATGGTAATAAACCAGGTTAGTAGTTTATGCCCGAAGCTTAGAAAGCTCAATATAATAGGTACTAATGACAGCATCGTTAGTTGCAAATGTTGCAAAGGTCGTTTTGGTTATCAAAGTGCAATTATACTATCTTGCTAGAGCTTTATTATAAGAAGTTGTGCTAATTTATTTTTAATGTAGTGAAATTTACACGCGATTTATGTTCACCCTCAAGTGAATCGTGTATGGTAATGGTTTTTGGTGAAAAATCAACAAAATTTAGTGTTTTCGTGTACATATTATAACTATGCATAAATTGTATTCAAATTCAAAGCAAAAATATATTTTTTTATAAAAATTTGTATGTCAATCCTGTCTAATTCCTAGTAATACTGTTATTCTATAAATGTGAAAGTTTGTATGTACTCATACATACAACTTATTCATTCTGAAGTGGATGGGCTGATTTGGATGAAACTTAATATAACGTGGAGTAATATAGGCTATATGTATACATAAATGCAGAGCGAAGCGATAGTGAGTCACTAATTTATTAGGGATATTTTTAATTCCTTCTTACATATTTGTTAAACCCCCATTTAAATATCCTTCTATTTTACACATAAAAGCCGCTAGCCAAAACACTTGAAAAGAGACGTGAAATATGGTCAACAACGGTTTTTAAACCAAAATGTACTTTCTACTAACGATAATGTAGTCCAATATCATTCTTACATGTCAAGATAAAAATTCAAAAGAACATATGGTATATTCACCCTTAACGCAAAAAGGGAGAAAGAGATCAACGTTGTAAATATAATTTACTGACGGACTAACTTCGCTTCGATAGTAGGGCGTAGGTACCTTAAAGAAGCCTATGTGCTACTCTAGGTCATAATCTAGATCCCCTCAGATGTGTGTTTATCTTGTCGTGTTAGGGTGGCTCATTAGCGTCTGGCAACCCAGCCGGACGCAAAGCCGAGAGAGACACAGGGAGGTGGAGGATCCACTTCGGTGAACGGTGTACCATATGGGTTGCTCCTGGTATTCTCTTACAGCAGAGTGGACTCTATACTATCTACTCTTTAACCCAAAATATTTACTTCGATTCCCAAAAACCTATTTATCTAAATTTTTTCTTACTAGAGATAGAAATCTATATATATAAAAGAAAGTCGTGTTAGTTACTTCGCTTATAACTCAAGAACGGCTGAACCGATTTAGCTGAAAATTGGCAGGGAGGTAGTTTAGAGCCAGGAGAAGGACATAGGATACTTTTTATCCCGTTCGACCGCGTTCAAATTTTTATGATATTTTAATTTTTGGATTTCTCTTAGTCCGGAATAGGTAAGTATTAAAACATATAATTAAAATGTGAGAAAGAAAGATTTTTTTTTTTTATATCTATTTAAAACGTACCTAGCGACGAACCCGAGCGAAGCGAGGGTGAGCCGCTAGTTTGACATAAGCTCCATAAAAATTATGTAGAATTCTTATCTAAGATAAGTAAACTCAGATGAGAATCACTGTAAGTCGATCCCGTGATACTTACTCATAAAGAAAGGGGCTAATACTATTATAATTCCACCCTTATTTGTCTTTACAGAATATCCATTTGAAATTTAAATTCGGCTTACTATCATTCATACACAATGGAGCTTTAAACAATCACACCTAGGTCAGTGGATTCGGGTAAATGAAATAAACATTTTCGACAAGCGCAACAATAAATTGCAATTTGCGATTCCAACGTTTAATGAGGCTTCATTCAGTGCGGTTAAATTTTCATGAACTTAATTTTTTTTTCACCTACGAATGAGTTGGATCATAGTTATGGAAAAAACATTATTTGGTCAATATTTAAATTTGATTAAACAGAAATGTGTCAAGAATAAAATAAAAACTTAAAAAAAAAACACCGACTTCCAGACACTAAAATGCCAGCCGATGCAGAGCAAATCTAATATATTTCGATACGTAAAATACATATTTACCTATTAGATATTCATATCTTAAAATATTGTAGGCTGGCACCGACTTCGACAATATCTGATTAGGTATCTATCTTACTATCTATTCAAAATGAAAACCTCCGTTTAGTTATTTTTTACTTTTTAGTGCCTGGAAGTCGGTTTTTTTAAGTTTTTATTTTCCCATTTTTAGTGTAGACGTAATAAGCAGGTAATTTCTAAGAAGATTTTTTTTAATAACATATGCAATTAAACAATTTAATCATAAAAAAATATTTATTGTTGATTTTTTTTAAAACCGCTCCACCGATTTTGATAATGGAAAGTATACCCATTGAAACAAAAAAATATATTTTCCAAATCGGTTCAGGCGTCTTTGAGTAATCGTTGAACATACATAAAAAAGGATTCTGACGAATTGAGAACCTCCTCCTTTTGGAAGTCGGTTTATTATATCGTATTTAGCTAACTTAACAAAACTTTTTTTATTCATGGGATTAAAGCTCGTCAACAGCTACCAAACAAAAAAAAAGATCAGTTGACAAACATAGGACAAAAAAAAATTTGAATTGTTTTTTCTTTATAGAACTTACCTATTTATATAAAAAAAACTATTTCCTTTTTTTTATTGATAGAACTAAAGCTCGCTAATAGCTACAAAACCAAAAAAAAGGAAAACGGTTGATTTATAGAGGAGAAAAGGCTGCTGGACTATTTTGTCCTTGTTTATCTGTATACATATAGATTAATTAAAATGTTTTGCTTAGAGTTACATGAAAAAAAAAAAAAAACAAATTATAAAGACGAATATTTTTTATTTTTCCATACCCATATCTCTTTTAATAAGATTTCTATTTTTGTGTTAGTCCAGTCAACATGGGCTAGTAAGCATCTTACGTACAACTTTCGTAGAGCTTTCAGCCACTTTCTTCATTATTATTTATCAAGCACCTAATGCTTTAATTTTTAGGGTTCCGCGCCCTAAATTAAGTGACGTTATTATAAAAACACACACACATAGGGTACTTTTAGTGAAAAAAAAATGTAATTGCGAATGCATACACAGGCTAATTTAAAAGTGCCAAACCAAAACTCCAATTTCAAAGGAACCAAAAATCAAATCCGCAAAAAATCCAAAAATATAGTTCTCTTTAAAATGTCAAATATTCACTTAAATCTAACAAAGTATTTAAAAGTGGTTAAAAATCTTATTAGTAAATACGTAATATATATTGTAATATGGAACCAGTAGTATGTGGATAAAACTAGTACTTGGCCTATTTTGCTATTCATATCTTTCGTTGTATACGCGATGTCACTAACCTTCTTGAGCATCTTTTTCTTTGGACCGTTTAAAAATTAATTTTAAACCAAGAATCAAACTGAGCATTCCATATTTTAATTAAAATCAAAGAGCATGAAATGAATGTACAGCTCTCTTTCAAGGTGTATTCATAATTCTGTCTAAAAAGTCGTGAATCTTAAACTTTGAATCCTTCTACAGGAATCCGCTTACAGAAGGCTTATAATTTTTTTAATGCTTCTCAAACTCTAAATAACATAAAATGTAAGTTTATTTTTTGTTTAACTTTTATTTACATGTATAAAAATACTAGCGATTCACCTTGCTTCGCTCGGGTTCGTTCCTACGTACGTTTCAACTGTTAGTATGGAATAGACTATATATTATGTGATATATAGCCTATAGCCTTCCTCAATAAACGGGTTATCAATACAAAAATTATTTTTCAAATCGGATTAGTAGTTCCTGAGATTAGCACGTTCAAACAAACAAACAAACAAACAAACAAACAAACAAACAAACAAACAAACAAACAAACTCCGCCTCCTTATAATATTAATATAGATTTCATACATGACTTTGTTGCATTGTTTTTATTTTGATTAGTATTGAAACAAATGTTATATATGTTTAAATAAAATAAATAAATAGGAAATAGAGTATTGGAGCGAATATCCAATATAAAATAAGATATAACTATTATTTTAACATTATACACCTAGAATTTTTATTGAGATAGGTATTTAAAAGGTATAGAAGAAGTGGAGGTATACATATGATAAAATTGTACATAAATAAAATTGGCGAGCGTAGCCGCGGGAAAAATAAACTAACTGCTTAAATTAAGAGAAAAGTTTTTTTTCTTTGTTTATTTGTACCGAATAATTTCCGAAACTACTAGACCGATTTAGATGAAATTTGGTAAGAAGATAGTTTGAGACGCTGGGATGGACATAAAATAGTTTTTATCCTGGAAATCATCCTTTAAGGGGGTGAAAATGGGGTTGTAAATTTTTATGGGGAAACAACCTAGGGATGAACCCGATCGATGGATCGAAGGATGAGTCGGTAGTTTAAAATAATTATAGAAAATATTTTTTTTATTTTATTGTTATAATAAAATACTGTATTACTTAAAGAATCTTAAATCTATAAAGATAAAAAAAATTGAAGCGTCCGTGTGAAATTAAAAAAAAAACAGCTTTCTACTAAATGCATATGAAATTATGTGCGGTATAAAAAATACAATTTTATAATTTTTGTCTGTCTGTCTGTTTGTTCCGGCTAATCTGTGAAACGGCTTTACCGATTTTGACGAGACTTTCACTGGCAGATAATTGATGTTAAAAGGAGCCTGAACTTAAGCCACTTTGGTTTAAGAAAAAGAATTGCAAAAAAAGATTAAAACGTACCGCACCGAGCGAAGCGAGGCTAGTTACAACTAAAGAAAAAAAAAACAAAAATTACAACCAAATATTCAAACTCAAGAATCATGAAACATTTTATGAAACTGAAACACTTATCCAGTTTAAGAATCCGTACATTCATTCACACAAGTTGCACAGGTTGGTAGGAAAATTGAAATTTTCAGTGTCGTGTTTCAACCGCGTTGAATGAAGCCTCATTAAACGTTGGCGTCGCAAATTGCAATTTATTGTCGAAAGTGTCGCTACGAAAATGGTATTTTAAACATTTTACAAAATGTACGCTATAACGCCATAATGACTTTTGTCATATATAAACTTGTAATATTTGTAAAATAATGGCCCAACATTTATAATCTAACTTTCAATTGTTTGATTTTCAATTGAGAACGTTACAAGATAATTATATTAATACCTTTAATATATACGAGATTTTGCCCGTGGGTTTGCTTGCTTGATCGCTTATCAAGGGGCCTATTTTTGGTTCCAAGATACAATCTATGCCCTTGCCAAATTTTATTGAAATCTACTCAGCGTTTTAAGCGCGAAAAGTTTACAGGCAGAGTTACTTCCTCATTTATATTATTAAGTATTGACTAGTTATGCTTCGTTTTAACTAACTCAATAATTTTCACATTTATAATATAACTGTGATTTGAATGTGATTTTTTTTTTGTTTATATAGTAGTAAATCTCCTACTTGCCTCGGTGGTTTTAAGAGATTCGAGTCCCGGGTCGGCCCAAGTTTTGATACTGAGTCTTTATGTTCGGAAACTCTTAGTAACGGCCCAAAATTGGGAAGTTCATCGTGTTTCGCCCCTATTCTTCAAAGAGCAAGTAAATCCTTCGATTCTGCTCTTGGATTATGAGAGTGACGGGAATAGAGAGTGCACTTGTGTCTGCGCATATACTTGTGCACTATAAAAAAATTATTGGCCGCTATAACCCAAATCGGTCCGGAGGACTAGAGAGTCTCGTAATACGCAGTATTTTAATACTAATTGAGATTGGACTACGGAATACCGCTATGTAGTGACCGGACTGATTAAGATAAAACGTGATTTGGAAATGTCTATTCAATGTTTAGTATTTTTAACTGGTTTCTGAATGAGGTACCCAATTTCTCTCTGTTTTTGTATGTATACATATAATAAAATTCTGAGTCGCATTTGCACATTAAATATTTTTTGGAAAATCGTATTGAAATGGTCATTACTATCGATATAAATGCCGAATCTATGGATTTTTGCATTTTTGTCCGTCCGTCTGTCTGGGAACGTATCACGAGAAAATCACTGGCTATGGTATCGTTAGCAATATTATAAATATAAAAGGTACCTATATAAAGCACTCAAATGATGCAAGGGTACGCCACTAGTTTGTAATATGAACTACTACTAAGCTTAATAATCATCAATGTATTTACTGTGTAGATTTGTGAAATAGGTTAATCTCTTCCCACAAAAAGTACTCCTACTTCATTGTGCTTTTTCTATTCACACTAATTACTCATAGCCTTCACGATATATGCATATTGTACGTACTTTTTAAAGTATATGTACTTAACTTTGAAAATGGCAATAATAACAATAAGTCGTGGGTTCTATCCTAATTCAATTAAATTTCTTCGTTTAGTGCCTTCTAGGAGTGCCGTGTTGCTACAATTTACTTCGCCAATGTCGCGTAGAGGGTTCTGTTCTCATACGAGATGAAAAGTTGTCAAACTGTACTTAAATACTTTAAAATAAAAACATAAATGGTTTGTTTATAGTTTTTTACATTCATAATATTAGAATGGATTAAAGCTTAATATACAAATTGAATATTTTCTCTTCAATAAGCGGTATTTCTCTACGAAATACACGTTTGAGCGAGCTAATGGTAACGTATCATTAGCTAATGGGGAAGAAACCATCGCATTCAGAGTTTTTATACCGCTCTTTGTCTGGCGGCTCTATATTACGGATGCTAATTAATTTTTTATACAACACTCTATGAGATAAATATGTGGATTTCCGTCTATATTATATACACGTTTAATTGAAATGCCATGTTAAGCTCTTTTGAGGAAATTTAAAATGGCGATTTGTTGGATTTTTTTAATAGTAATCTAATGAATTGCTTAGGGACAGATTATAAAAAGTAAAAAGGTTTTTAAATTTACGATTTTTACTGATATATATGTATGTATGTATATATATTACTATATTATAAAAATGAAAAGAAACATAATTAACAAAAATAATAACGTTCTATATACTTCTAGGCTGCAGATGTGATGGAGGCAAAATATACTAATTTTAGAAATTTTGTATCTATTATTTTACACATTATTACTTTTTGCAGTTTTATAGATTAAGCTCTTTTTTTGTAGGAAGAAGCTTATAAAAATATTTATTTTAATATATTTTGTTACAGTTCACGGCGTAAGCATCATCTACCTCACATCGGAAGACCGCCACGATCACAATTTTATCTTCAAACAGTTTCAAAGGTATCGTATCTTTAGACTTACATGCATGCAAATAACATGATAATATGATTTTACTAATATTAATAATCTTTACATAGTATAAAATGAAGTCACTTCCACTGTCTGTTCGCTTATATCTTTTAAACTCCTAAACGGATTTTAATGCAGTTTTCAGCAATAGATAGACTGATTCAAGAAGAAGGCTATAATCTATATAGAGTATAGGTGGTATATATGTGTTTTCTGCAAAAAAAACCGCTTTAGAAATATAGTACCTATCTAAAGTAAATAATTACAAGCACTTGGGCGACCAGCATCCATATTTTATTATTACTTTATATCTCACAATATTTACCACTATTTTAGTACATTCAGTTTAAAAAAAAATGTTCCAAATAAAAAGGGCATTCAAAGCGAGATACTCGCAGTAATGTTGGACAGTGACATAAAAAGGCGCTTATCAGCTGTTTAAGTGGATGCTCGTATTTTTATTGGCTTTAAACTTTTATGTCATTGACTGTACTTTATTAAGCTGGGGATATACTCAGTTCATATTTATTTTACGAATATTTTATTTATCTGTCAATCTGATAAGTTACTTTCTGTAAACATCTATAATTCGACTCATGCTTAGCTTTTTAGGGTTTAATTAAAAAATAAATATAATCTATATATTTAAGTTATTGTAGTAAGAAAAGCTCAAATTATATGGTTGTACGTCTGTATGAATTAACCTGTTATTACATTAAAGCAAATAGGAAGTAACTAAAAAAGTACGTTTATTGCAAGAATAATTTATTACCTATGGATATGCCACTATAATACATGCTAGCTAAAATACCCACAAAACTAGATATACTAAATATAATATATGTCCCTCTCCAGTTTTAAGAAAATAATTGTAAAAAACATTTTTTTAAAAAGAGCTTTTATTTAAATGCTCTATAAATAAGAAAGTAAACTTTAAATTAAATCAAACCCAACAATTCGTTACATTTTATAATATTTATGATTTAAGAGCTCTTCGCGAGATTTACATATTTTGTAAAAAACATATTATTTTATAACATTTTATTTCTTGTAAGTACAAATCTATATCCATACCTACTAATATCATAAATGTGAAAGTGTATTTGTTTCTTTGTTTGTTTGTCTTTCTTTCACATCAAAACAGAGTGACGGATTTGAGTGATTTTTTATGCGGAGATAGTTGGAGTTTTTACCGCGGGAGATTATCTCATTGTTGCGGGAAAACACGTTATAATACAACCCTAACATATATTTATGATCAGAATTACTTGAAACTTGGTATTAATGTAATGCAATAGAATTAAATAAATACCAACCTGTTCTAGCAGCTTTCGAAATTCATCCCATAAGGGGGTAAAATAGGGAATGAAACTTTGTATGAAACCCAACTTTTTAGAGTTTTTTTTTGTAGTTTTAGCACGAGCGAAGCCGCGGGTTTTGATAGTATCATATATGTATAGATACAGTATCATATTTTATATAATAAGAATTTATCTCAATATTTTTATAAAAAAGTATACCAATTTTGTTACCACTTTATACTGGCAGGTAAATTTTCCCTGTTGGCACTGGCACATTTTCTTGGAATTTATTTTTTTGTATATGTAAGTATATGAGTAGCTTTGAGATAAATTATTCACTAAAAGTAGTATCGTGGTAATAGATTACCCATACAAAAAATGTTGAGTCAAATAGATTTATTCATTTTCTGTACAAATATTATCTATACTTAAATAAAATTATATTATAATTCATATCTATACTAATATTATAAAGAATTTGTTTGTTTATTTAAACGCTGTAATCTCAGGAACTACTAATCCGATTTGAAAAAATCTTTTTGCGTTAGATAGCCCGTTTATCGAGGGAGGCTATGGGCTATATATCATCATGTAAGGGAGGGGAGCAGTAATATATTATATAGTCTATCTATTCCATGTTGACAGTTAAAACGTACCTACGACGAACCCGAGCGAAGCGAGGTTAAGTCACTAGTCAAATATATTGCTGCAGTGATGTCTTATAACGAAACTATCTATACTGCTTCCTCCGACTTTAACGCAGTTGTCGCCGACCATTTTGTATTTATTTATATTATAATAAAATATTCGCCCTCATTATACCAAAAACCTTTATATTTTACGATTTAACAGTGTCAAAGTAACAACAGAACGACAGGATGTTTTATTGTCTTTCTGGACATTAAAGATAGAATTCAGCCTGCTCGAGCCTATTAATAAGTTCCTCATTGATCATTTACAGTGGGTAATTTCAAACATGAAAAAGAGTGTTTGAAAGAGAAAGAAATATAATTTCTTTTGTGAACTTTTTTAGATGTACGCAGATATCGACGATATTTGACGAGAATAGGTCGTAAAGTATTTTGCACCCTCCTACCCCCATCCCCCATTTTTTTATCGCGGTTTTAGTATTTTTGTATGAACAATATTTTATAAATATAGCATACATAGCGACGAACCCGAGCAAAGCGAGGGTGAGTCGCAGTATAACATAAAGCCAAAGAGTTTTTTTTTTGTAGATTAAACGAGGGCGAAAATAAAAATGCGTTCAAAATTTATTAAAAATTATATAATAAAATAAACTTTGATCTTTTAAGAACACTATTCAAATGTCTTAAAAGATTCTCAGGTTGAAGGAACCAAAATGAATACGTTTTGGAAAGAGTATAAACATTATGGGAACATTCCCGAGTATTTATGTGTGCCATTTAAAGAAGTAAATTTAAGAGCTCTTCAAGTATTAAGTCATGAGTAACGTAAGAAAATTGGCTATGCCAATGAAAAAATGGCTGAATTTTGGTGCATATTATGTTTTGACATGAAATTGAATGATTACATATTTAAAAAAATGAACTCCAAATTGGATATTGAAACGTCGCGGCAAATAAAATTAATATAGAATTATACTGCAAGTGTCGTAAAAGACGATCATACTGGTTATCGCACCTCGGGTCTTCTGTATGACGTTGGTAAACAACAGCATTCTCAAAGAGAGTTGATGTCAGGCGGCCGGTCGTAAAACTTTTGACAAAACCGATCACCAGTATAGTAGACGTACTGCGCGGACCCCAAGTAATTTGAGAAATGGGCAGGAAGAAGAAGTAACGAGGGCGAAGCCGCGGGCTTTGCTAGTATGTCAAATAATATTGAATTTTACAATGATTTTAAAATCCATATACTTTTTCAAAAATGTTTTTTTATGAAATAATCTATACGTTGTAACTCAGTTTTGAGAGAAATATTTCAAATTAGAAATTATTTTATCATAATATAATGAAAAACCAAAATGACTATAATATGGAGTTATAATGTCCTTGCAGATATCGAAATATATTAGATATAGGTTTACCGAAAAGATTAGACTTTATCGTATAATTATATTGCGAATTGTTTTGTCCCATATCTATCTGAAAGTAGGTTAACGCTTAGAAATCTCATCAAGAGCTTGAATTTCAATTAACAGTGGAATATTTCGCATATATCACATTAAATTAAGCTGACATATTGAATTTGAATTTCAATTTGAAATCGTTAAACAATAATTATTATTAAAAATAACGAAATTATACTAACAGTAGTTATATCTAATAAGTATATAAATATCTCGTGCCACGGTGTTTATGGTCGCAATCCTCCGAAACGGCTAGATCGATTTTAATTTTTTTTTGTATATTTGGTAGGTATGAGAATAGGTCGTAAAGTATTTTTCACCCTCCTACCCCCACCCGCATTTTTTGATCGGGATTTTAGTATTTTTGTATAAACAATATTATATAAATACGAGACCCGAGCGAAGCGAGGATGAGTCGCTGTATGACATAATTATCATAGTAGCTTAAGAACCATATACTACTCTCAATAACTATGTTTTCACATTTTTTTGTGTTATTTATTTGTATGTATTTAAAAGGATAGCCTTTAAACAAAGAACTAATCTAAAAGATAATTTACTAATAGAAAGCTACACAATTTATTTGATATTACTCAAAGTAGTCTATTTTTGACGATATTTTATCAAGTGAGCGAAGCGACGAGACTTAGTTATACATAAGATAGATTTAAAAACAACTTTTACCTGTAAGTATGTTATAATTAATTATACATTGAATATTGATAGTACAAAAAGTAAAAATATTTGGAAATTAATAGAAGCCTTCTTCTTTCGAATAGGTAATTATAATATTAATATATATATATATATATATATATATATATATATATATATATATATATATATATATATATATATATATATATAGAAGTATACAAGTACTATTATACAAGATAAAGTTTGTATTTAAGATTGTTTGTGTATGTGTATTTCTGTATACATTTGCTACTCCTTCCTTCATACTAAAAGGACTAGACTGATTTGGATGAAACAGATAGGTATTTAGTAGGTATAGCTTGAGGTAGCACACTGACTATTGTTATTTATAAAAATTGCTAAATGATGGCGCTGCTTGTAGATATACATACACACATTATAATATTAATAATAAAAAAAGTCATCTAGGGACGTACCCAAATACAGCAAGGGTAAATCGCTAGTAAGATTATAAATAATCAACGGCTCAAAGGAAACTAGAAAAGAAATAAGAAATAAATTACTGTCCTATCAATAATCCCGTTTGTTTCCAGGAATCCCGCATCTCATCCCGGGGGTGGGATTAGTGCGAAGATCCCGCTTGACAGCCGGGATTATGGTGAGTGATACTTATCTATATTTCTACTACAACAATGTATTGTATAAATTGAATATATTTTATTGGTTACGTGACTACTTGTTATTGAAAACACTTAGATAAGTCTTCTATTTCGATTGAGATGATGTCGAAGTAGTATTCTGCCATAGTTTTATTGTATAATTACTTTGAAAATGGAAAATTGATCCGGAATCTTGTTTATGAAAGTTTAAGCCTGAATCTGATACGTGCTTTCAAAAACCTTTCGAACAATAAGCTTTTAGTGTCTAATTATAAATTAATACCTTAAACGTATTTTATGAAGCGATTCTTCAAATTCATTCCTTAATATATAGCTACTATCTATTAAAAAACGTTCTATACAGTTAAAGTTGCGATAAACACTAGTAAAAAGGTTAAAACGAAAATTTTTATGTATAAAATCCTGTGTCACGATGTTTGTCCGCGATGAACTCCGGAACTACTTATCCGAACTTAACGTATTTTTTTTCCAAAATATTTGATTTATTCCAACTTAAAAGATGGATAGTTGTTATCCCGATTATTCCCTTTTTTTATTGAAATATTAACGATTTTCATATCCAGAGAGAGAACCTGAAAAGCGGATACCCTAAGCTACTTGAACGAATTATAAATGTGCCACAGAAACGCGTGGCCGGGACTTCTGGTACCTACATCTATTATAAGTCAACAATAATTACAAGTAGATTGTTAGTCTGTTACATACAAGAGAAATTAATTAAAGCGTACTAAATAATTAAATACATAAAAAGTAAATCTCAATTTTTTTTTGTAATAAATTCTACATTTTAGGGGTTAAAAGACAAAAATCTTTATAATTTCATCATGTCCATATGTCCGTGTGTCATCCAATTAATATATGTAATAAAAATCTAACTGAGTAAAATCTGTACATTAAATATTTTTGGAAAATCTATTGAAATAGTCATTATTATCGATAAAAAGCTCGAATCTAAACTTTTTAGAATTTTTGTCTAACTGTCTGGGAATGCATCACGAGGAAACCGCTGGACCGATTGTTATAAAATTTGGTATGATCTTAGCTGGTTATCTGGGTTAAAATATAGGATACTTTTTACTGCAGAAAATATTTCATATCTAAGAAGTCTATACTAACATTTAGAACGTTGCTAGTGAAAAAATAAAAAGATAAAGATGTACCCTAACTAAGGGTGCATGCATCCAGCATTTAACATTGTAGATGTTTAGATATGTCTTTAAAATAAGATATAATGTTCCTAAACTACTTTTTATTTTTTTAAGACAATACTTACAAAGCAAATCTTTTTAAATAGATAGATAGATTGATAAATATTTTAACTATAACTAAAGTTAATGCTCTTTATCCATATCTATCTGGATGATCGATTTTATTCGGCTGGCACGGAGCCCAAATATACCTCAAATCATAAAAAAAAAATCAATTTGGGTGAAAATGGCAATATTTGAAATTAGATAGATATTCTTCATATCAAAGAAAATTGTGAAGCTTTATCTCAATAGAATACAATTTATAACAACTTGTTCGGTCTCCCAGAACATAATTTCAGACAATTTTGAAAAATACCCATTGAGTAAAGTACTACCTTTCTTTAAATTCGGTTCAAAATTAAGATATAATGAAATCTAAACTCAAATAAATAATATAGTTTAACTATTCCCTCTAATTTCCATATCCGGTATGAGGCAGCGTGGCCGAGCGGTCTAAGGCGCTGGTTTTAGGCACCAGTCCGAAAGGGCGTGGGTTCGAATCCCACCGCTGTCAAAACGTTTTTGCTATTTAAAATTAAAAAACAATACTTTCAATTATCTTGTTATTAGTCTTAATGATAATCTTATATTTATAAGTGCTATTTTTTAATGAAGGTTTTGTTTATTTAACTTTTAAAAACATATAACTTATATCTTGCTCATTTTTTGTATTCAAATTTCAATTATCTTTAAAAAAATCTGGACCAATCTCATCAATCAGACCTGAAAAATCTCTATTCTGGACAATAGCGCTATCTACAAGTACAACTATACCTAAGAAACATCTAGATGAACCTATAAAGTACACAAGAAATTTCATCAAAATTGGTCAAGCTTATTAGAAGAAGAAGAATTACAAACACACCCCTTATACGTATTTTTATATTTTATGTATAAAAAATTAAGATAATATTAATGTTTCACTAGTATGCATTTTATAATAATCAAAATTTGATTCTTTTCAATCGAAAAAATTAAACAATCTTGAAAATCATCTTTCATACATCATTTTATTACTTTCATGTATTCAGCACTTTTTAACATCCCACTGCTACACACGAACCTCCCTTTAGTACGAGGGGGATCAGGTCACCATAGTCCACCACGCTGGCCAAGTGCAAGCGGACTGCACAATTGTCTTTTAAAAACTTGCTAGGTTCTCTCAGACATGCAGGTTTTCTCAAGATGTTTTCCGTCACCGTAAAACAATTAGTAATCATGTTGGAAATGATTCGCACATGAAAATATCAGAGGTGCGAGACCCGAGATTTGAATCCACTTCCCTCGATTTCCCAAACGAGCGCGTTACTACTGGGCTACCGCTGCCCTAAAATTTTCATAGATTTCAAAAAAATATATGTTATAAAATAAGTACTTTAGTAATATGTGATACATTAGTCTTATTTTTAAAAAGCATATTTAATGTTATTGTATCCAAATCTAACCTTGTCTTTATCTGTTAAGCAAATTTCACCCAAATCCATTAGTTTCAGAGAAATTGGGCAAAGTAACATCTAAACTTTCACACATATATAATATTAGTATGATTAGTTAGAGTTTGTAGTTCTGTGAATCTACAATATACCGTTGTTAGTTTAGCGACTAACTGACTTAACTGTTTGTAATAAAGTTTTAAAGTAAATTGGACTTGTGTAATTACATTCATTTTAACATAAATAGAGTCAGTATCTACAAAAACATGAAATAATTTACAATATTCATTATATAAATAATATTGGTAGGTTATTGATAAGGCATTTACTAGAAGACTAGTTAGAGACATACATACGATTACATATTATGTACATCTCGCGGCAAGGGTGAAACGTGTAGTTTTATATTTTTTTTATTTACAGCTGTTTAGTTTTTGCCAATTTGACATTAGAAGTTTAATAACAATTTTTTATCCAAAATTACGTTTAAACATATAAATTGTAAATATTATTGTGATCGCTTCTTAAAAACCTTTATTTTGATACCCCACTCAATTTCAAGTTTGAAGGTTTGAAGGTTTTTTTTTATTAAAGGCACATAAATTGACGCTAGAAATCCGCCATTTAAATTTTTGACTATTTTTATAATGCCTATGACACTCACTTTATCAAGAGGAATCTAACCACGTATGAATCATACATACATACAAACATATGTACATAGACTGATAAATACCTACTAATTAAAACATTACCCTCCTTTGCGTCGCGCAGTCGGGTAAAAACCAAGTGAAAGGAGCTGGAACCATTTTTTTATAATGTTAAAATTGTAACTTATTTATTTACCTACTTTTAACTTTAAGGTATTAAATGCTAAAAACATATTTTCGCTAAATAAATAAATAATATTTTCTACAAATACAGTAAAACATAGCATATTTTATTTTTATTTATTGTAATAAAATAATATACTTCCTAATACAAAAAGTTAGGGTTATAGAGAACAACTTTCAGTATCGTAACCGAAAGGAAAAAAGTTTCAAGATAAAAGCGTTTTTAAACTCAGAAACAACTTTGTCGCTCAAACTGAAACTTCTGGGTTTAGTTTCTAACATTTTGTGGTGTTGATGTAGTGAAGAGCAAGATAAATGGTTACAATTTAATATATTAAGGATTATATTGTTTGCTCGAAAAATAAAATATTTAATAACCTTTACAAGAGATCAATATTTGATGCTAAATTTCATAGACTTGTATCTCTACAAATCGGAATACTTAAATTTATACATATACTAAAAGTGTAACTGATCGCTGTCCGTACATGGAAGATATTTGAGAAAAACTATTATTAGAGGGTCTTTATTAACGCAACAAAACCCAAAACAATGATCTTGCGTTGTCTGTTTGTCTGTGCGTTTGTGCGTGTTAATCTCATTTTTTTTGTTTTATACGGTTCATAAATGAAAAAGTTATGTCAATTTAAAGAATTGCCTAGGGACGAACTCGCGTGAAGCGTGGTGAGTCGTGAGTTGTTACATACCTAAAATCGTATTTTCGATTTTTTAAGAAATGTTAACCTTTGAGTCAAACTCTTCAATCTCTCTCGTTACTGTAAAACATTAAAAACTTCAGGAATCAAAAATGCCAAATAAAACTACGAAATATTCAGAAAGTCCTAGGGACGTACTCGAGCAAAACGAAATCGAGTAGCTTATATGCAATGAAAATAAAAACGTATAAAGCATATGCATTAAAATATGACCACATAGAAATAAGTATATTACGAGTACTCTCATATACAGAAGGAGTAGGTACAATGTCGACAGTATTTCACTTGTAAACTGACGCCAAACAAATAAAATTGATGGCTGAATTGAAAAGTATTTACATATAACACAAAGGGCCATCTCATATCATCGTGTTGCAATATTGAAAAATATTTAAAAAATTAATACCTTTCGGTTCATGTACATGTTCATTTTACTATTTTGGCAGTGTCCATGTACATACATATATAATATGTATGTATATGCACTGTATACAAAATACATATAGCATATTTTCAGCAACCCTAAAATATTTTGTGCATATTTTTAAAACAGTACTTCATGTTGTTACACTTTAAACATTTTTTGTTCTTTAAAATATCTTAAGTGATATTTTTACACTACTTTTATATGCTTAGTAAGCGTTTTTCTATATTTCTTACAATTACTATAAAACAGTCCCTAAAATATGGAATGCTAGCAGACCTCGCGGGCTTCGCTTGCGCTAAAACTACAAAAAAAAAACTCT